GAAAAATTGTATATCTGATTTTTTCTATTTTTTTAAAGGGCATATATTTTTTCAAAAATTATATAAGAGATAAGCATAAAACGTAATTTAAAAAAGAAGTAAGGGGCCTGCCCTGTAGCATAGTGGTTAAGTTTGGTGTGCTCTGCTTCAGTGGCCCCGGTTCGGGTTCGGATCTCAGGTGCAGACCTATACCACTCAGCCATGTTGCAGTTGAAACCCACATACAGAGTGGAGGAAGATTGGCACAGATGTTAGCTCACGGATAATCTTCTGGGGGGGGGGGGGCAAGGAAGTAAATATATCTCAATTCATTTACTCTCCCTTTCAAACTCCCTACTATGGCTGGCTTCTTAAATGTCTCTCATATTATCAAGGCTGAGATTATTGCTGATATACGTTGCATTGGATATACCATGAAAATAAAAATCTTTAATATAGCTTAACGAAGAAGAGTTTTTAAAAAATTAAGGTGTGCATTTTTAATTAAAGTAGTCTGTTTTTCTCTTCTGCAAGGGGTAGGAATAGATAAAGTGAGAATAAATCAAAATACAATTTATACCAAGAGAGACTACATATTGCTAATAACAAAATCAAATTTCAAAGTTCAGATTCTTATTTTCCAGGACTATCCTTATTTTTATAAACAAAATGGTGGTCTGTATATTTCCATCAGGTCAATTCATAGGATATTCAAAATAAAAGCTTCTTTTTCTATATGATCAGTAGAAGCACTATTGTATTGCAAATCATGCTCCCATGCTGTAGCATGTGAAAATCAATAAAGGGTAACTTCATTTAAAACGGAATTGGAAGGCCAGAAGGAGGAGCTTCCATGCAGTACTGGTTAGGTCAATTAAAGGACAGATAGTCAATTACAGACCCCAATAGAGACAAGTGAACAGAAAAGAATTATCAATTACAAGAAGAAATGTGCGTTACATCCCAAACAGAAATTGACTGCCCCAGCAACTCAGCCAATGAGAAATCATTACCACCCTGAACTCTCACTTTTCTCTGATGGATTTCTTTGAAAACGACCCCTCCCAATTTCCTTCTTTTTCTCTATAAAATAACGTTCCTCTCCCTTGTTTGTTGGATTTGCCTATGGCCTGCCATAGCAGGGACAACCTGAATTGCAATTCTTTGGCTATTCTTGAATAAACTGATTTTATTGGTGAAATAACTAGCTGTTTTATTTTAAAGGTTGACAAGCATAAGTTCTTATCTTTCTGTAATGAGGCTTTCTGCTCTTCTCTCTGCTTTCACCAATACAGCAAGATCTCATTCATTGTTCTGAATTTTGAAATAGAAAATTGTGTGGCCAGTGATTGTTCTAAACAATCAAAGACCTACAAATGAAGCCAATAAACTTAACCTGTAGTTTAATCTTAGGAAATCTATAACTTTAAGTCATCATATTAATGGGCTAATAAGGAAAAATCATATGATCTCCAGAAATGCTAAAAAGTCATTTAATAAAATTTAACATGCATTTCTGATTAAAAGGGGAAACTCTTAATAAGATAGGAATAGATGGATACTTCCTTTATAGGGCAAAAATAAATACTTTCCAAACAAAAAGCTTCCCTCATGCTTGATGGTGATATTTTACAAGTATTCTCATAAAAATCCAGCTGAATTTGTCAGATGAAGAATAAAAAGACAGCAATTTTCCAAACCTATAATTTCTTACTCCCTGAGTTGCTGATAGCTATGGATAAGAAATACCCTCCGTTGTGCTACAGAACTTAAAAAAAAAAAAAAAAAACTGCCATGAAATACCCATTTGCACCCTTTATGCCAGTGGTGGAGTTTTCATATTTTGTGAAACACTATTTTAGATAATTCCATGAAGTCATAAAATAATGGTCCATGAGAAAGTTAAGATGTTTCGTAAAATTTATCAATTGTGAATTAATCGTCAGTGGTCTCACTAGTTTGCTTTCTTGGGCTATTTCTCAGCACTGAATACAACTCAGGGTAACTCCGCCAGTTAAAGCAAGCTGTTTGATCTGTTCAACTTCCTCCTGGAGCAGAGTTTAATAATACAGTTATCTCATGGTTTCTTGAACCCTAAACATGAGACAAAACTTTTGTACTGTTTTACTTCTATTCCACAACCCATAACCACATACTCTGGACAAAATCAGTGTAAAAAAAATTGTTCTCCTTTTATTAGCTCCTCCGAGACAAAATAATCTGCAAACAAGTTCCAAATCTCAAAATCTCTTTTAAGGCAGATTTACTGGCCAGGTTCCTCTCTAAGCGCAGCATAACTTGTTAAGTATAATGACAGCACAAAATGCTGTCACAAGAACTCTGCTGTAGGCATTAAACTTACTATTTGTTGCATTATGTGTATTTTATCAGTTTAGAAAGGAAGCCCACCAATCTTATTTTGGCTTACTCAGAAGCCACAGTTTCTCAGCTGCATCTTTTTCCCAAGTCAGAAAAACAAAGAAACAAAGATATTTGATTATATGGCTAGTGTTAGGGAATTTTTTAGGCCTTAAACGGCATTATGATCAAGTGTTCCCAGAAAAGCAATTCAAAAGGCAAGTAAGAGGGAAAAGTATCTACAAGATATGTGATAAAGAGCCAATTTATTATTTTAAGAGTTCTTGTGATCAATAAGAAAAAGACCAAAAACCAGGTAGGAAAATGGACAAAGGCTATAATGTGAGTAGTTCACACATACACACAAGGAATTACAAAAAACTTATACATATATGAAAAGACGCTTAACTTTACTCTTACTTAAAGAAATAAAAATAAAATAAAAAATGAAATGCCATTTTTCACCTATCAGATTGGCAAAGATCAAAAGGCTTAGAAGTACAATGTCATCAATGACATAGGTGAGTGTATAAACTGGTACATCTTATTTGGAAGGCAATGTTGCAGTATCTATTAAAATTTTAAAACCCATAGAGCTCAAATGTGATTATTCTTAGACTTTCCCTGAAAACTCTCTCAAAAATGCCCCCCATTACTGCCTCTAGCCCCTTATTTTCTTCATAGCATGCTGCAATTTCTAAGTATTTGTCAACTCTTTAAGGTCTGTCTACCCCAGTAGAATGTAAAATTCCATGATGGCAGGGATCAAGCCTAACTTGTTTGTTGGTTTAACCCCAGTACCTGCCATAATGCCTACCATACAGAAAACACCTAATAAATTTATTTTCCTTTTGATCCAATAACTCCACTTTGAGGTAGCCATTTTTAGATGACCCAAAGGATTCTTTTTGACCCAACAATTCTACTTCTATATGGATATGCTTCAGACAATACTCACACATCCACAAAGATTTTCACTACACTGTTGTGTAAAAGCAAAATATAGGAAATATCTTAAACATCCAATAAAATATGGTCCTTCCATTCAATAGAATACTACAAAGTTGTTTAAAAAAATGAGGTAGATTTATATGCATTGATATAAAACATCTCCAAGATGTATGGTTAGGTGAAAAAAAAAGGTGTAGATCCATGCATATAATGTGGTATGGTTTGTTTCTAAAATTGGAAATATACATATTTTCACCAGTGTTCTCCAACCCTCTTTGTGGGAAGTCTCAAACTTGTATGGTCCATGTCAATCAAGTCACACATTCGAATGAAAATACCCTTCAACATCACACTGCCCTGCCAGATTCTAGAACCCCACCACCTCACCTTCAGTTCTGTGAGGTTTACCAGGGTCTTGAGCCTTGAAAAGAGGGTTATTCAAAATAGGTAGTTTGGTTAGGGTCAAAATGAAGTCTCAGGGTTCAGGCAGATGTCACTGAATGACAACAAAGGCTTTATCATAGACAATGAGTGGAGCTCTCTCTAAAGTCTTCGCCAGCTCTGGTGCTAGCCAGTCTCTCAATACCAACTCTCCCATCCACACGGTCCTTCATGATCTGGTCTCCTTTTCATGAGCTTTACCAACTGCATCCTCATTTATACCTTCTCATTTTTTCTTTCTCCTAGTCTAGGTGGCACCTTATCTACTCTTTGGAAGGCTGAAGCACCCTGGATCTTCATCTTTTCTCTTTTATGTCTATTTTTATGGAGAAACCCTATGTCACCTTCACTCAGGCATTTGGCTTCTAATAGTCAAAACCAAACTTTTCTTGAAGAAAACTTTGGCCTTCAGCACATGTACTCTCTATTCTGTTTTTAAAAAATCATTCAAAACTGCAGCGGGCATCTGTTGGTTGCCTATCCTCCCTTCCCAACATTACCCTGATTTTCATTCAGGTATCCCCTCCTTCCCTGTGTAGCCCATAAACTGACCATACCTACAGCTCCAGGAGTAGGCCATTCTATTTCCCTGGCAACAGCACCTGTTTTGAGGATAGGCATGTGACTTAAGCTAATCCAATTAGGGTGAATCTCAGGATTCTTGTTCGGACTATCAGGACAGAAATGTTCTTTCTCTCTTCAAAGGTGGATCAGGAAATATATAACCAAACTCAGGAAATTTGGCAGCCCTTTTGTTAAGGGAAACCAGACTGAGGAGGAAAATGAACTATACAGAAGAAAGAAGCCAAAGTCCTATTAAAGCCATGCAGGAATCCCATCCTCCTGCTGGACTCTTCAGTTACACAAGCCAGTACATCTCTATTTTTTAACTCAGTCTGTTAACTGCAACCAGGATATATTCAATTGAATTCTTTGTTCTGGGGTTGTTCTGGTCCTCCCTGGGGCAAATGAATGGCTCCATGAGGAATGAAGCCCCCCAAGAGAGAGAAAAGTCAGGGCAACAGGAAAAAAACCTTCAGGTTAACAGCTCCAAACCTATTGGAGCTAATTCTGCAAAATGCATGCCTGTATATACACAGAACTTATGGGCAGACATAGAAAACACCAAAAAGAGATTTCTTTGGGGAGAAGGAGTAGGGACTGGGGTGAAAGACTCATTTTACTGACTTACTGTAGTGTTTGAATATTTTTTAAACCATGTGCACATATTACTTCTTTAAGTTAAAAATAACGAAAAATAACTTGCAAAAGAAAACTTAAAAAGCAGCTTTTTCTTGAGGGACTTACAGCATAGGCACAGTAGCAACATAAAGTGTTTTAATACTATTTTGCTCATATAAAATTGTTGTTGTTAAAAGTCCTGCTGTAGAACAAAAAGTCCTTAGTTGTTATCTTTCCCTTTTGTCTTTCTGTACACCATCTCTCGGAAACTGGCTAGAATCTTATTCTCTCTCTTTCGTCTCTCCTCCTGGTTAAAGGATGCAAGGGCTCTCTTCTCATCAGCACTGTAGATTTGGTTCTCTTTGCGCAGTCGCACAGCCTCCATTCTGCGATGCCTGCTACCACTCATAACATAACCGGAGCATTCAAATGAAGCAATCTCTTCACTTGTCAGACCAATTTCACCTCTTCGTGGGATACGCTTTCCAGCTTTTACATACTCAGCCATAGCTGCACCTTCACCCGGGAGCAGAGCATGGCCATAGTTCAAAGGTTTCTCATCTTGAGAGGTGTGTATTACAGGTGCTTCTGGACCTATTAGAGCCGTGGTATCTGCAATCTTTGACTGCTTAATCCATATATGGTCTGGAAACTCTCCTTCTGAATCCTTACAGCTTGAATCACTGGAATCTTTTTTAGTCTTCTTATTCTTCCTTTTCTTGGTTTTTTTTGCTCTATGTTTCTTTTTCTTTTCTTTCTTCTTGGCTTTCTTGGCTCTCTTTTTATCATCAATGGAGCCAGAGTTAGTGTCAGAGTCTGAATCACTGTCACTATTATCGGAATATTTCCTATGTTTTCTTTTGGACTTTTTCTTTCTTTTTTTCTTGTTTTTTGAACGAATGGTCTTCTTTTTCTTTTTTTCTTCCAAGCTGGAATCTGAAATGCTGCTCTCCTGAGTCTTTACTTCTTCATCCTCAACTGGGCTGCGCTCATCAGAATCAGGCTCAGGAAACTTGGGAGACAGCCCCCACACCTCAGGAGCTCCCACCTCCCCAATCCTTTCTCGCTCCCTCAGCCGCCTCTGCCGATAGCTCTCCTCTTTATCCTTCTCGCAGTCCTCCGCCCACTGCCGGTCGCCCGCGTAGTGGTGGTGATGGTAGCGGTATCCGCCACAGTAGGTCGAAGATGAGGATGAGAAGAAGTAGTTGCGGAGCCCGGAGAGCCGCTCTCGAGACCCCGAGCGGCTAAGGCGGTGAGGGGTGTCCACGCCCGTCCCGCCCCACCGAGGCCTGAGGCCCTCGCGGCCGCGGGAGTGGGAGCCGGAACGGCCGCTCCAAGGGGAGCGCCTGGCCTGCGCGAACGGCGGGCTCCCGGACGAGCTGCGTCGCCGTCTCCGAGATCCCGGGGTGTCCTCGGGATAGCGGGACCCGGACGTTGGCGCCATGACCAGCGCTTTCGCAGGCAGCCAGCTGGTCAACGGACAGCCGTTACCGCAGAGACCCGGCGGGCTTCCACTTCTCGTCCACGCAGGCGCGCTAGCAACGGTCCCGCGCGCGACTTCCGCTTCCGGCCGGTTGTCAGGCGAAGACCCAACCCGCGGGAGGGCCGTGAGGCGCCTGCCTTGGGTCAGGCTGTCTGGGGGCTTCTTGTTGGGAGTGGGTAAAGGGGCATGGTCGGATTTACATTCCCCAGACTGAGGCCCCTGGGAACATGAAAACAATTCATATCAATGAATCCCTCTAGTGTTCAAACACTCCCTTCTCTGCTTGGGTATTTAACCATTTTAGTACTTCCCTTCGTTCCTCCCATTCTCACTTCCGCCCTCTTTATCTTTACCTCTCAGTGGAGGTTCCTGCTTCCCACGCTCCTCTTGTTTATCCCTCAAAAAGGAGCTTGTCCACCATCTTCAGGGGGGAAATACGTTTATTAATAACTTCCAAACCCTGCTTATTCCTACTGGAAGCAAAAACCAGAATTTCTTTTGGAATCAAAGTTTGAGCTCAGCCTCTGAGCCAAGTGAGGGCCAGGATCATGATTTTAATTCTTAAGTTCCCAGACTTTTCTACCCCAGCAGCACAGAGACGCATTCAACTCAGTCTTATCCAGTTACCTCAGAAACTTCGTGGTTTGGGAACCACTTTCTGCACACACTTTGTTTGCTCCGAAGCAGCAAACATTTTATGAAAGATCTTTTTCTCCTGATCTTGAGGTGTACATAGGCATTACGGTCATCTGATTCTCTGTAGTTAAATTGACCTGCTTGGTTAGTTGACAGACTTGGACAGAGACAGAAAAGTTGTCAGAACTTAGAAATGGTGCTTTCCTAATGCTAGGACTCTAAACAATAAAATGGAGAAATTAAATTGAATAGGACCAAATTAAATCATTTGATCTAACAAAAATTTTAGTAATGTGATTGAAGGACATAAGGACTGGCATGGTTTCCTGCCATAAACTACGCTAAGTTAGGAAGTGGCAAATAGGAGGGAGTATTATAAGTGAATAGTCACATGTATAGTGAAAATATCACAATGGATGTAGGACTAGAGATTCTCTATAAGTAAAAATGTCATACTTTATGTAAAAAAATTTTCTTTTGGAGTTATAAACTCCTTGGTGGGCCAATGAAATTAATCTGTAAATTTTACTTGAGATAACTGTAAAATTAAACCAGTTAGCATCTGACAAGGATTTCAAATATTAGCAAATTGATTGATGGAACATCTCTTTCAGGTAACATGGGAAAATGAGTTTTAGAATATATTTTTGTTCCTTAGGAAAACTATGACCTAGAACGAGGGTGGGAAAACTTTCTCTGTAAAAGGACAACAGTAAATATTTTAGACTCTGTGGATCATGAAGCAAAATTGAGAAGATTATGAATGTACATATATATAACAAGAGAAAAAACAAATTTCCACACATTTTTATTGATAAAATATAATTATCTTATTCAAAATATAATAATTGAATACAATTTTTTGTAATATAGGTCATCTGAGGGGAAGAATAAAATTCTTTTTTGAGGGAATAACATTTTGCTTAATTGGCGTTCTGCCATTGTAGGACAAGAGCACCCACAGACAATATGTAAATGAATGAACATGGCTGTGTTCCAGTAAAGCTTTATTTATAAACACTGAAATTTGAATTTCATATAATGTTCACATGTCATGAAATTCTATTATTCTTTTGTTTTTTTCCAATCATTTTAAAATATAAGAACCATTCTTCACTCAGGCCATACAAAAACAGACAGTGGGCCAATTTTGGTCTGTAAGCAGTAGTTTGATGACCCCTGACTTAGTAGAAAAAGTAGTGGTAAAAAGATGTGCTTATAGGAATAAAAATAAATACCTACCATACTTTTTTGGGAGGAAGGATCTTTCATTTTCTTAATTTTATTTGTAGATGAACAAATATTCGGTAGTGTAGAACACAAAAATATATTTGAAGATCTTTAAGAAAATAAAGTTTTTCAAGTAGCAATACATTCTAATCATTAAGAAAAGCACCAGATGTTGAAAGCTCAGCTAAAATGAAATTGCTCTCACAGATAATATTTTACTGTATTTCTCAAAGTTTATCAAAGTTATTTTCCATAAATTTCCCCCAAATTTTTGTTTTAGAAACTTTCAAACCTACAGGAAAGTTGAATACACACCCATATATCCTTTACCTAGATTCACTAATTGATAAGATTTTTTTCTTACTCAATTGAAAGAAAGTTGCAGACATTATCATGCTTCACTCTAAATACTTCAGCTATTGAGGCCTCAAAACGACATTCTCCTTCATAACCACAATACCATCTTTACCCTAAAGAATGTTACTATTATTATTAAACATTAGATAGTGTTATCTAATATGCAGGATATATTCAAAATTCCTCAATTTTTCCAATAATACCCGTAAAATGGGATTTTTAAATCCAGTCAAGGATCACACATTGCATTTAGTTGTCATTACTCTTTAATCTCTTTAATCTAGAACAGTTTCTCTGCCTATGCTCCCCCCTCCACTTTCTTTTTTTTATCACGTGACAGAGTGATATGTCCCACAAGTCGGATGTATCTGATAGTTCCCTCACAGCTAGATTCAAGGTATCCTGTTTGGCACATCACATAAGTGATATATACTTCTTATTATATCTCATCAGGAAGCACATAACATTATTTTGTCACAATCTATACTTACTTTTAAGAAATTCCTAACAAGAAAACTATATGGCACTCTCAGGCAAGCTGGAATTAAGTATCCCTCCAAATTACTTTACATTGCCTTTACACATATATTTAGTGACCTTTACATACAAAACAAAATAAAGGCAGTGTTTTGCTTTATGTCAATTTGAGACATTCACTAATGAGAATCATTTTGAAGCACCTAAAAAAATAAGTAAATAAATAACAGAAACTCTGATAAGTGGTAATGTTTACCAAGTTAAGTAAAAAATACAGAATCAATATTGTATCTGTTAAGTAATTAAAACAGTGCAAAAAATGTGTGCATTTTGGCGAAGGCTAAACAGGAACATATCTCCTTTTAAAAGATTTTAAGTCATTGATATTTGCACATTTATTTTTTTACTTTTTCTAAGAAAACTGTGTGATGAACTAATAATTATTTAAATGGTTTCCCAATGAACATGAATCGTTCAGATAAGCTTATTGACAAACTGTTAATACTAGGAGCAGTCAATCAGGTTAGCCTGTGTGCCCTAATAGGGGCAGTTCAGGCGGTTATAGCAGCTCCATTGCATCACGAGTGGTCCAGGCTCCTTCTGTCTTTCTGCTTCAATATTCTCCAACAACTTTCTGCTTCCAGCAAATAGCTTTCATTCTCATGTTTACCTCATCATGATGAGATGGCTAGTCCAGCAGTGTACTCCCTCTCTGAATTCCAGGAAGGAAGACGGTTGAAGGGCAAAAGGTATGGGCTGGCTGAGTCATTCCTTTTTTTGTCAGAAAAAAATATATATATGGTCTTTCTGAAAACTCCAGTCAGTGATTTCTCCTTTCATTTTGTTGCCTAGAACTGGGTCAAAAAGCTGCCTCTATCTGTAGGAGAGTCTGGAGACGTAATTTCTTTTTAAGTGGGCACATTGTTGTCTGGACAAAAATATGTATCAAGGTTCTCTTAACAATACAGAATGGGAAACTGGACATTTTGTAGTCAACTGCAGTGTCCCTCACAGGAACTGACAGCTTTGAAGCACTGCCCGTGTTGTCACTTTACAGAAGTTATCTCAGTCAATCTTTATAACTTTAAGAGATATTGGAGCTTTATCATAATTCCACAATTCAGCATCCATCATTCAACATCTTTCGCCCAGCCTTCCTCCAATTTCAATATTCTTGCTAGAAAAATCCACCCACTCTCAAAATACATGCAAAACTACAAGTCTCTACCTGTTTCTCGGAGAAATGAGAGAGAGGCTTGCCCCGTTTTGTCCTAAGCCCCTGTCTCCTGGGATTTCTTGAAAGCTACCTCTGATGTGAATTATACTGTAAAATCAGCCTGCTTTAGAGTGGAAAAACCAGGATGGAATTGTCCAGAATGGCTCTGGTTCCAGGATAAAAAACAGAAAACCGATTGTTTCCTTTAATTTCCTTTCCTGTCAGGTGGTGTCAAAGAAGCAGGAGGTGTGAGGCCCACTCAGTCCTGTTATGTTGGCAGCTCTGAGTTTCCCAAATGCCAGGCTCATTGGAAGATAGAAAAGGACCTGGCTCCCAGGTAAGGAAACAGGCTCCTGAGGGGAACCATGCAATTTGACCGTCTACTAAGCTGTGAGGTGGAGATGTCCCTGCTCAAAGCCCCTCTCCAGGGTCCCTTCCCGCGACGTGGCTGCCTAGAGTTCAGGACTTCAGTTTCCATCGAGAGATGAGTCCTCTCTGCTCCCGACGCCCCTTCGCACCTGAGCCACCATGGACCAACACTGTCATCTGCTACCGTGAACCTCCTTGGCCCATTACCAGGTTTCTCTAGGACTGTTGAAGAACAGTGCTTTCCAACAAAAATAGAATACCAGCCACAATTTATATTTTCTGGTAGCCATATTGAAAAAGGTAAAAAGAAACAGATAAAAACTAATGAAAAAAATATATTTCGTTTAAACCAATAGATCCAAAATATTATCATTTTAACATGTAATCAATATAAAACATTATTAAGATATTTTACATTCTTTTTTAAAAAAAGTACTGTCTACAAAATCCAGTGTGTATTTTGCACTTACAGCCCATCTCAGTTCAGAGGAGCCATATTTCAAATGCTCAATAATCACATGTGCCTAACGGCTACTGTATTGGGCAGTTCTGCTTTGAAGTTGCCTTTTTCATTTCACACCATCACCACCAGCTGCTTGCTGTCCTCCATCCAAATTTGAGGGTGCTCTTTTTGGCAGGCACAATTCTAGGCACTAGAGATACAGGGGTGAACAAAATAAAAACCCTTGCCCTTATAATCAAAATAATTAAAACACAAAAGTAAGACTGCTAAATGCTAAAGAGAAAAACATTTTGCAAAGGGAAAAGAAATATGAATTAC